CTGTGCACACGTGTGTGACAGTGCAGGTGCAACGTTAGAAAATATGCATGGAGACAGCATCGCGTGATAGCAGCGCATCATGGGCTCTCCCCATACACGCAGTCACACAAACAAACAAACAAACAAGCACACACATACGCACACACACACACACACACACACACACACACACACACACACACACACACACACACACACACACACACACACACACACACCAAAGCGGTGTAGCCGGTTGCACTGCGCTGTGACGGGTCCGTGCCATTTTGCAACATCCGCTTTGCAGCCTGCGCATCGTTGCGGCTGGCCGCTCCAACGATGCTGCGTTCAAAGGCCATCTCATCCAAGTCCTGATCCAGCCCAGAGGGCGCATGCTCATGACAGCCACACCGCTGGTGGTGGCCGTCGTGGTCGTGAGTGTCGCTCATATCCACTGCTCGCTTTTTGCTTGTCGTTCTTCTTCTTGTCTTGTCAGCAAGACGGTTGCAGAAAAATACCTTATATTTTGGGTTAATTATCGTCATTCGCCTCAAAGAAACGAAAGCGACGACAAACGACGAAGCAAGCAAAGGAGGGCAGGCAGTTGAGACGGAACAGAGACAAGACGCAACAGCAGACGCAACAGCGAAGGCTTGGCACAGCCGACAAACACACAAGCACTGCGTGCTCGCCGCACAGAGTTGACCACTGTTCCTGAACATTTGCAGCAGACGGCAGCAGCACACGAGAAAACACATACACACACCTACGCATACACACACACACACACGTACACACAAACAAACAAACAAGCATGGCCAGCAACTTGACAGTGTTGGATCGTGTGGATCGCAAGCCTGAGACGGGCAAGACAACAGTTACAGTGCATCCAATTGTGCTTCTTTCTGTTGTTGACCACTACAACCGCGCGTGCCGTGGCACCAAGAACAGGGCCGTCGGTGTTCTCCTCGGGTCATGGAAGGAGAACGATACCCTTGACGTCTCCAACAGCTTTGCAGGTCTGCGTGTGTGTGTTTGTTTGTGTGTGTGTGTGTGTGTGTATGTGTGTGCGTGTGTACGTGTGCGTGTGCGTGTGTGCGTGTGTGTGTGTGTGTGCGTGTGCGTGTGCGTGTGCGTGTGCGTGTGTGGATTAAATGGCGTGTGGTTGTTTGGCTGGAACCTTCTGCTCCTTTTGCGGTTTGCGTCGACGATCACACCTCACTGCTGCTAATATCGTTTCCTCTTCCTATTGTTTCCCCCTCATTGTGTTTGATCAGTCCCCTTTGAGGAGGATGCCAAGTCGCCAGATGTGTGGTTCCTTGACCACGACTACCTCGTCAACATGTACAACATGTTCAGAAAAGTCAACGGTACGCGTGCACGTTGTGTGTAAGTGCATGTTTGTATGCATGTGTGTATGCATGCATTTATGGCATGTGTTTGTTTTTGTGTATGTGTGTGGTTTGAGTGTGTTTATGTGTGGGTGCTTGTTGCACATCGTACACTGCTTTGCTTGAACCCGGTCTACGACCCATGCCGCGTGTTTTGTGACAATGGCACTCCCTCGTTGCGTGTTCCGCCCGTGCTGATGTGGCTCGTTTGCGTCTCTCCTCACACGTCTCCTTCGTTACCGGGTGTGCAGCCAAGGAGCGAATTGTCGGCTGGTACCACACGGGCCCCAAGCTGCGCCCCAGTGACATCAAGATCCAGGAGCTCCTGACCAGATACGTCGCACATCCGGTAAGGATGGGAACGGGGTGTTGGACGTTGTTGTGCGGACGTGATATACACCGTGTGGGGTCTTGAAAGACGAGTATGGTTGTGCATAAGTTGTGTGTCGAAAGAATGTGGTGACTGTGAACTTGCTGTGTCCTCTCCTCCGCCCTCCACTTTGACATGCGCGCACCCTCAATTTGCATGCCCTCAATTTGCATGCCCTCAACTTGCATGCTCTCATTTGTGTGGTTATGTGTGTGTATGTGTGTGTGTATGTGTGCGTATTGGTCAGGTGATGGTGATCATTGACCCGAACCCGACCACGCTTGGCCTCCCCACCAAGGCGTACTATTCTGTCGAGGAGATTCACGACGTGAGTTGCCCTGAACTTGACACTGCATGTGCAATAAAGTGTGCATGGCATTGGCTTTTTTTTTTCTGTCGTGTGTGAGTTGATGTATGATCTTCAACATGTGCTGGAGATGACGTTGCTGACAGCTACTCACCACGTTGTGTGTGTGTGTGTGTGTGCGTGTGTGTGCGTGTGTGTGCGTGTGTGTGCGTGTGTGTGCGTGTGTGTGTGTGCAGGACGGCACGCCCTCGACGCGGACGTTTGAGCACATTGCCAGCGAAATGGGCGCAGAGGAAGTCGAGGAGGTACGTGTATGCGTGTGTGTATGTACATGCATGCAAGCGTGCTTGCTTCTCTGTGCACCACGTGTACCACCACCACCATCGTCACCACCACCACGCCTCATCCTGCCTCCCCATCACCACCACCACGACTGGGATGACGAACAGGTTGGCGTTGAGCACCTGCTGCGCGACATTACAAACCTCGGCATCTCGGGCTCCCTCTCCCACCGCCTCCAACACCAGCTCGCCTCCGTCAAGGTGCGCGCACCCTCCCAGTTTCATGCCACATGCACTCTTGCTGTGTTTGCGAGTGTGAACGCCTGTATTTGGTTGTTTGGTTGGTTGTTTGGTTGGTTGGTTGTTTGGTTGGTTGGTTGTTTGGTTGGTTGGTTGTTTGCTCTTTTTTTTTTTTTGCGTGTATGTGTGCGTGCTTGTGTGTGTTGAGCATTGCAAGTGACAAGTTTCCGTTTGCTGCACCTGTTTGAAGTCATGCCACACCTTCACCATTCCTTGTACACCTGTGCTCATCCCCGCTTCACACCCTTGTTCTCACTCACCGACACCTCCCCCCCCCCATCTCCAAAACAACCCATCACCAGGGGCTGTACGGGCACCTGAAGGAGATTGAGGAGTACCTGTCGCTGGTTGCGGCGGGCAAGCTGCCCATCAACCACGCCGTGCTGTACCACCTGCAGGACATCTTCAACCTCCTGCCCGACCTTGATGCGTCGGCCCTGTCGGCTGCGCTCACCACCGCCACCAGCGACCAGCTCCTTGTCGTCTACCTCGCCTCTCTCCTCCGCTCAACCATCGCCCTCCACAACCTCCTCGACAACAAGGTGCCCGGTTGTGATTGTACTGTTGTGTTGTGTTGTGCATGCATGCGTGCGTGCGTGTGTATGGGCATGTGTGCTTGCGTGTGTATGGGCGTGTGTGTGTGTGTGTGTGTGTGTGTGTGTGTGTGTGTGTGTGTGTGTGTGTGTGTGTGCTGACGTAGTTTCATGTTTTTGCGCACGCATCTTTGCTCCCCGTCACATGTTCGCGCGTCCCCGTGCACGGTTGCTTGCAATTTCTTACCCCACGACCACCGTTGTCGCGCCCTCGTTTAGATTGAGAACCTTGACGCTGAGAAGAAGGCTGCGGAGAAGGAGGAGAAGGAGAAGGAGAAGAAGGAGAAGGAAGAGAAGGCCAAGGCAGACAAGGCCAAGGAGCAGGCGGAGAAGGAGACGCATGGTGGCGGTGACGACAGCACGAAGAAGCAAGGCGACAAGAAGGAGAGCAGCGACGCGTGAGGTCGCTTCCACCACCATCACTGCTGTTGGTGAGAGCTGTTTCCTGCACCCTCTCTTTCCCACTGTTCTGTGTGTTGGTGTGTTGTAGTGCTGTTGTGTTGTTGTTTCTGTCTTTGTTTCTCCGTGTCCTCTCCCCTCGCATCTGTGTACGCGCGCGTTGTTTGCAGAGTAACCAATACAGCACTGGTTATGGGCTATGTGCCATGGGTGACGCAAGGACGGTGCGAGAAGGTGGTGATGGACTGTGTAATGGAGACAAGACAACAAGCAAGCAGGGTATGGATACGGTCAACAGACACGGGGGCAGCGCACAACATGCAACACGGGCTTCGACGTGTCTCTCAGCTGTTGACTGAGAACGAGTACCTGGGGTGTCAGTGAATGTGTGTGTGTGTGTGTGTGTGTGTGTGTGTGTGTGTGTGTGCAAGTGAGATTAGCGAGTGATAACATAAGGGCATGGGTGGCGCGTGCTTCAAACGGCTTGCCCGCACACTCAAGAAATAAAGCGATGAAAGCCGTGAACAAGAACACCCAAGGCACAGTTGGAGGGCGCAACCAGGCAACCAGGCACCCACGCGGGCGCAAACACACACGTGCGCACACGTGGAACATGCACATTGGTGACGTACCCGCATTTACATCTGTAGAAGATGGTTTGGCCTTCATCAGCGGATCGCAGCTGTGCAGTTGTGTACGACATTTCCTCGCGGCCACACTTGGGGCACTTCTCATCAATCTGCCCACGCAAACGCGATGGACACAAAGGTTGTCAGGATGGAATGGAGCACGCTCACGTCAAGAATAAAGAGAAGAAGGAGACTTGGGCACAGCGCAGAGGCACAAGTCACGCAGAAGGGAGCATGCAAAAGCACATAAGCAAACACACACACACACACACACACACACACACACACACACACACACACACACACACACACACACACACACACACACACACACACACACACACATACACACATACACAACGCACCGTGGCGGCGGTGTCCTCGACCTCCTTGGATGTGTTGTAGTCTGGCTTCTGAAATGCATAAGGCCTGCTGGAGGACCTGACCTTGACGTTCTCAAAGATGGTCACGGGCACGCCATGGCCGCAGCGACGGCACGAGATTGTGTTGTTGTCGCCAAAGGTAGGCAGCAGCGCACCACAGCGCACGCAGAAGTTGCGATCGGGCGCCTTGAACGCACTCATGTTGCTACTTCGTACTTGAGGTGTACTTGTGTTGTTGTGTCACCGTGCAGTAGACGTGGCGATGCCGGGGGGGGGGGGGGAACAGTCTTATTGTGCACGTGTGCGTGTGGTTGTCTTGTGTTGGTCTGTCGTGTGCAGCGTGCCGCTTGTGCTTGTAGTTGGACTAGAAATAGGCCATTTTTGGCCTAGAAAGAGGATGTCGCTGTTCCAAGCAAAGTGAGCGGGAAGACGTTGGTGACAACAACGGTCAAACAAAGCAGTGGTGTGGTGCGGTGTGTGTGTGTTGGTGTGTGTCAGCGTGTGTGTGCCTGTCTGTCTGTCTGCCTGTGGATGCTCACTTGGCATGCGACGCTTGTGATGATGCTGCTGCTGCTGCTGCTGCTGCTGCTGCAGGGAGTTCTGGACCACCAAGGCCTGCGAGCCCGGAACCACGGACATTGGCTCGCTGGTGGTTGGCAACATCGACAACAACAAAGATGGCATCGGTCAGTGAGGGAGCTTGGCACATCGCGTTTGTGTGGTCATGTGTTCGGTGAGCTGTTGGATCTTTGATCGTGTGATTGGCCGCTGCTGTCCACTGCCACCACCACCACCGCCGCCGCCGCCGCCGCCACTGCTGATGCTGTATCGGTGCTTGCTCAAACGCCTTCTGAGCTTGTGCTGCTTGTGGTGCTGGCATCCTCACAACCACCCGTGTTGGGGTCGATGGCCCTTGCCAGAGAGGATTGTGGTGGGAAGCCTGACAGGTGATCTGAGCATCTACACCGTTGCTGAGATGGAGTACAGAAGCGAGGTCAGTGTGCCCTTCTGCCAGCAACTGCTGCCGTCAATGGCATCGCAGCACGTGCAGTGTTGGCGCCGTAGAGTTGTGCTTGATGTTGTTGAAGCTGTTGTGAACCACGCTACGCCGGCTCATGGTCGTCAACCTCGCTTGCACGTTTCGCTGCTCCCGTTGGGGCACCTGCAGGACCTGTTGTTTCACACAAAGCTGGCACCAGTGCTACAGCTGGAAATGGGCGCGTTCAGCTCGTGAGTCGCAGTGTGTGTGTTTTTTCGTGTTTGTTTATGTGCGTGCGTGCGTGCGTGGCTGTGTGTGTGTGTGTGTGTGTGTGTGTGTGTGTGTGTGTGTGTGTGTGTGTGTGTGTGTGTGTGTGTGTGCGGTACTGCATGGAGCTTAAGCCGTGCTCTTGGTTCTGGTGGCAGACCGGACGCTCGTGAGCTGGCCATCCTCCATCCCCGCGAAATTGCCGTGTACACTGTCAAAGGTGATCTGCCAGCCATTACAATCATGCGTTGCCATGCTGGTTGTGTGTGTTGCGTGTATGTGTGTGTGTGTTTGGGTGTGTGTGTGGTTTATGTCCGTGTGCATGCGTGGGTCTGTGTCTCTGTCTCCGTCTCTGTCTGTCTGTCTGCCTGTCTGCGTCTGTCTGTCTCTCTCTCTCTCTCGCCATATCTCTCTCTCTCTCTCGTGCACGTCTTCACATGTTTGTGGCGTTCCTCCTCCACCCTCATCCAATGACACCCATCTCCGCCATGCCAGGAATCGTCGGCCAAGGCGTTGAGCTGTCCAAAATCTTTGGCGCGAAACTGGAGCGCACCGCTGCCAACTTTGTCCCCGGCCGCTTTGGTGGCGCTGGTGCGTGCGCAAGCCATATCACCATCACCATTGCAACTGTCACCACCGCCAACACCACCGCCGCCACTATCGTCCTTTGCCGGCAGTTGACGAGGGCGCGTTGTTGCTGCTGTGCTCTGAACGCCAATGCGCGCGCGTTTGTGTGCGTTTGTGTCTTGGTCACATCTCTAACACGTCCTGGGGTGAACATGTGAACGTGTGGTTGTGTGTGCTTGCATCATGGCAGTGAAAGACGTCATCTGCGTGCAGTCGATGGACGGCGCCCTCTCCTTCTACAATCACGTACGCACTGTGCTTTGCGTGTATGTGCATGAATGCGTGTGTGTATGTGTGCGTGTGTTTGCACGTATGTGGGTGGGTGTATGTGTGCACGTATGTACGTGTATTTGTGTGTATGTGTGTTGTGCATGTATGTGCGCCAAGTGTCTGTCGATTGGCTCAAACGATGCACACCATGCAACCCCTCGCCCCGCACCACCACCACCACCACTGTAGGGGCGACTTGGGCTTGTGCGGTTTGTGCCGGACTTCCTTGTGCCGGGACCGCTGTGCTATCTCCAGCACGCCGACGCTATCATCACCTCCTCCGCAACTTGGGCCGTCTGCTCATACAAGTTCGTCCCGTGGTCGCGGTGGTGATGGTTGAGGTGATGGTGGTGATGATGGTGATGATCGTAGTTGCATCGTCCCGATTGTTGGCAAGAGGCAAGAATTGCTCTCCGTGCATGTTGTGTTCTTGTGTTCTTCGCACCATTCTCCCCACCACCACCACCATCACGACCACCAACACCATCGTCATGATGGCTTGCAGGTTCCTGGTGCTTGCCTCTGCTGGGGAGGCGGCGGCCCAGCGGTCCGGCGACAGCAGCCAGCGCAGCACCAAGGAGGGCGGAAAACGCGTCACGGTATCCACGCACTCCTCTTGCAGCTCCGTTGTGTGTGTGTGTGTGTGTGTGTGTGTGTGTGTGTGTGTGTGTGTGTGTGTGTGTGTGTGTGTGTGTGTGTGTGTGTGTGTTGTGTGTGTGTGTGTG